GGAAAAAAAAAAAAAAAAAAAAAAACTTGCCCACAGCAGAATTAACTATCAGAGAAACTTGTGTAATGGGATCTAGGCCCTAAGCATACCCTGAGCATAACTCAGATTCCTCAAAAAGACAAAATCCCCCTACCTCAAATTACAAGATTTGGTTCTAAAAAGCGGATCCAAGATGCCATGCAAAATTGTGCAATAGGTAGAAACAATGAGGAAAAAAGTTAAAATGAATTAATTCTTTCAAAATAAACTTGCCAATAAATAACAAAATGGGCTGCAAAACCTATGAGGAAAGCCAATGCCATTGAAAAAAAATAATAAAACATAATAACTAAATATAGAAGTTTTTGTAGAAAAATTGGAAAGTACAAATAATTCCTACCTCTCAAAATTTTTAGTAAAACCTTCACATACCATTCTAGATTGATGTATAAACAATATCTATGGCATTATTTTTCAAAAATGTAATCATTCTTAATGTGTTAAGAACCAACTTTTAATACCATTAGTATCTTATCAATAACTCCAAATTAATATTTTATTTTATTCTATTCTATTGTTTTATCACACCAAAACTATAAATGATGCTCAGTTGTTAAAAATTTTAACTGACAATTGTGTGACAGCATTGTGATTATGTTTTTCAAAAGTCTTTCATGATCAGATATTCATATTGAAGTATTTTATGAACAAACTAATATGTTGAAATTTATTTTAAATTACTACAGGAAAAAGAAGTATGAGGAACAACAAATTAAAAATAGATAAAATGCTTCTTGGTGAGACTGGATAATGAGTACACCAGGCTTTTTTCCCTATACTTGGTATGTCTGAGATTTTTATATAAAAATCTCTTTTTACCTGAATTGTAACTGAAAATGGCATAGTGAGGTTGCCACTGTAAGACAACAAAGCAATTTTATCTTTATAGAAACAATTTGGCTGTATTATTTATATCTTAAGCAACTTCTTGGGAATAGGCAATTCTTAGGAATACAGTTAATTCCACTAATATAATAAGGAAGATGTTTAGGATAATGGAAAAAAATTATAAAATAATTAATGGAAATTATTACAACCTTCTCAGGGTCTTAGTTTGAAATATTAAATTTAGAATCCCCTTCCATAAAATCCTAAACATTAGCTAAAATCAAATTACCAAGTGATTGTTACCAATTTTATGTCAAATAAATATAAGTTTGGAGGTTTCACTCAGTATTCTCAAAGATCTACATATTAATTCAAAACATTTAACAATCTGATAATAACACTAGGGCAAAAAAGCAACCACAAAACAAAGTAACTGATCACATCAGCAAATGCCCAGAGGATATATGTTTTATGCTCAAAACAAAAACAATTTATTATTATATATTAATATAAGACATTTTTATTCCTCTCACCTCAATTCTTTAACAAAGGTTTCTAAGTCTAAACTGTTTAAATAAAATTGCAACTAACCTTTATATATGCACTTGGGTAGATCTTATGAACAGCATCTCCAGGTGCACGCCCAGCTTCTCTGTCTAAGTAGTAACTCTGTACAAAGACCGCATGGTCACTAAGGCACCTGACCCAAACATCACCTTCACCTTTACATTCCAACTGCACACCTTTGCCTATGTGCAACCTTAGGAAGACAAACAGAATTACATTTCACCTTAGGTATTTACAAATAAATTTTAGTTCAAGTTATACTACAGGTTCAATATTGAAAATATAAAAAGGATAAAGATAGAACAATACAACACCATACCCCAAAGATGGCCTTTATTAACATTTTATATTCCTTTCTTTTCCTATTCATGTACAATAATGACAAACACACATATAGTGATTACCAACTATAGAAATGATCCCTGAAAGTATAGCCTTCATATAGTGATTACTATGTGTTGGGAGCACTTAAGATGAATTCTCATTTAACCCTCACTACTCAATCAGGTTAAGTACTATAATTTCTCTTATGAGGAAACTAAGACATATAAATACATGCAAATCAATTATCACTATAACACATGACTATTTAATTTTAAAATCAGTTATGCAATCACATGAGTCATATTTCAGGTAGTTAAAAGCTACATGCAATTAATGGCTACTGAACAATGCAGATGTAAATAATTTTCTACTCACAGAAAATTCTACAAGGAGTGGTATAGAAAGTAATTTGCAAAAGTTACACAGCAAGTAAAGAACCAAAGCTTTTATGCTTTACGTACCCACACATTATTAAACAACTGAATTCATATTATTAGCTAAAATGTTTTTCTTTAATTTGCCATCTGGAACATTTCCATTGTGTTACATAAATTTTTTATTAATGTTTTAATTATAAAAAATAAAAATTTACCATAATTTATTTCATTTCTCCTTTGCCAAATAATTTTTGATAATTTTGCAAAACATCTGTGCTCAATAGGATACACATGTGTAAATACCAAATAGTTTTTTCGGTGTGAGAAACTCAAAGTGTAAATAAGATCAAAATGTATAGTAGATAATGTAGAACAGGAAGAAAAGGTCTAAAGGGGAAGGGGAACTGTGAGGAATAAGGGAAAGGAATAAATACGAGAAAAGGAAAAAACAGAAACAAAGTCTTTGTAATAGGGAGGAGTGGAGAGGGAGGGGAATGGGGAATAAAGTAAGAACCAAGATACATCATATAAAGGTACAAATTTCCAGTGATGAATATCATCATATTGTATACCTAAAATGTACCAATAAACTTACTGAATTAAGAAAAAAATCTATTTATTCACAGATCTTGACACCGAAAAAAAAAAAAAAAAATCTGTGCTCAATAGATTTGTAGAAATACTTCATTATCAAAGAAAATAAAACCTAATTTCCAACTGGATTCCAAAAGGTCTAGCTACTATTCAAAACAAAGAAACCTTATTTTTTTATCATTATACATTAAGCAAACATCTTTATTCAAAACAGAATGCTTACAAATTTTTGAATTTAAGATGATTTTTATTCCTTTATATTTAACAATTCATATAATACACAAGAAAAACTAGTTTCAAATAAAAGACAATGTACTATGCTCAATTTTTAAAATAACTACATAATCAATACCTTGCTCTCTCAATGGCTTCTGTCCTGTGGACATTGGAGAGTTGACCCAAGCAAAAGCGATCTCCTCCAGAAGGATCCACATATCCATCAACAGTTACGATAGGGCAGCTTGAAGGAACCTTAAATGTCTCTCCTACCTGAACATCCATTTCAAAGTAAGCAATGGAACACCAATACTCAGGAGCTATAAGAAATAAATGAAAAAGAACCACCACCCACATGAGAAAGATATAAGGTCTTCACCTTCAATCCACATGGCAAAGTTTTTCCAAAAAGAAAGGATGACAGGAGGGGAAAAGTAAATAAAAAGCACTCAAAAGAACTGGACTAAAATAAAACAATGTATTAAACAGCAGGAATTTCTGTCTTGTATTTTCCAGTTCAGTACTGAGGGCTGTTCAGCAATTTGGTTCTTACCTCAAAAGACCAAATCAAATAAGAATGTAAAGAACACAGCAATCCAGGCATAGTGGTGCAGGCTTGTAATCTTAGCACTGTAGAAGACTGATTAAGGATTGAGAGCTTGAGCCCAGCCTGATTATCTTAGCAAGACCCTGTCTCAAAATTTTAAAAAGGGATGGAGATGTGATGACCCTGGGTTCAATCCACAGTAACACCTAAATAAATAAATAAATGTATGTTTTTTGCTATGATGTTTTATTTGACTGCATGTATTTTCTATGTTGTCTGCACTTTGACTTTTAAAAGTACACCAACCCCAAAATGTATTCCAGAGAAGTGTTCTTGAAAAACATCAATCTGCAGTATATTTTTATAGGTCCCTAATTGACAGAAAGCACATAAGCAAGTCAGCCATCCAGTCCTGAATCAAGGTTAATTACACTCTATATATAGGGATTCTTTATTGTCTCATAGGTGAAAGGTCATGTCATATGTATGTGTATATACATGTGTACATATATATATATGTGTGCACATATATGTGCATATATATCTCAAGGGATATTGTTAGTAAAGTCAATTCATGTTACTTTAATTTTAACTTTGAAAAAATGTTTAGTGTTATTTATTTGAACAACAATAAGTGATTTAGGACAATTTTTAATGCCTGGAAAATAGGAGGCAGTACTTAATTTGGATAGCAAATATAGTCAATTACTTCTAAGGTTATTTGAAAACATTGAGCCCATATACATGAAAACTGTTCGGTTTTCCCTTTTTACTTTATATAACACATCTACAGAGCATCTAGGTATCATCTAGATACTGCATTCACAGAAGTAAGCAAAATATAAAGTTCCTATAAAGAATTTGTAGGGGCAGACAACTGAGCAAACAAATGAATTAAGATAACTCAGGTAATGATAAATTCTATGAACTGCATTTTTAAAAAAGACGAAAGTAAACAACAAGACGCGTGGAAGAACATTTCAGCCTGACAAGTAGGGATTATCCTATCTGAAACATTAAGACCTAAAAAATTTTTACCTGTATGAAAACTGCAGAAGGAACATTTCAGAGAAAAAAGTAAAAGCAAAAGCCACATAGTAAGGGAAAAAAGAATAGAACAGAACAGAAGAGCCAGCCAGCCCAGTGCCTGAAAGGAAAAGTGATAGTTTGTAGGTTTGTCTGTACCTCAATGAGTGTATTCTGTACTAGAATTTGAAACAATAAAATTTTCAACTATCTGAAGATATTGGAATTACTTTTAAATATCATTTCAACATCTTCAAGAAACTTCTAAAATACAGTACGACTGAAACAAATTTATTTTAATTATACTTTCCTCTTATAAAAGAAGTTCACAGTATTCTGGTGTATGTTGTATGTCGGGGCAAAGTTCTGAGTTCCCTTAGAAGTGGAAAAGCATCAAAGACATTACAATGATACATGCATACCCAAATGTTTATAGCAGCACAATTCATAATAGTTAAATCTTAGAAGCAGTCTTAATGTCCATCAATAGAATGGATAAAGAAAATGTGTTATTTACAGACAATGGAGTATTACTCTGCCATAAAGAAAAATAAATGAGTCATCTGTAGGAAAACAGATGTACTTCTGACCATAATGTTAAGAAAAACAAATCAGGGCAAGGGATTTAGCTCAGTGGTTCGGTGGCCTGCCTTGCAAGCGCAAGGACCTGAGTTCAATCCCCGGTACCAAAAAAAAAAAAACCAAAAACAAATCAGACACATAAACTTAAATAAAACATGATTTCTTATATGAGAAACCCAAATTATAAATAAAGAGCAAAATAAAAGATATACAAAGTAGGGTGACTGCTCTTTCCCAAATGGGAAGGGATCAAGAGATGAAGGGAGGAGAAAAGGGGAGGAAAGAGGGTGAAAAAGGAATTAAAATGTGTAATGTACATGTACCAACTCCATACAAGGAATGTAAATATTATGTACTGCAAACATGTACTAAAAAAAGATACAATGGGCCATTGCTCCGGCACCAGGAGGGCTGCCTGGGCCTTGATCCACTGCAGGAAGGATAGCCTCACCTTCCCCCACTGGGAGCCGCCACTGCTCCAGCACCAGGAAGGTAGTGGCATGGGAAGCCCCTGAACCACACCCCTGCCCCTGCCCACTCTCAGACTTTCTGATTGAGCCAGTCTTTGGACCCACTCTGCAGAGGCAGAGGTGGTCATAGAGGGTATTTTTCTGAGTTCCCAACGTTGAATATCTTTAAAGAAAGGGCGTGGGAAACCTGTAGTAGAACAGTGTGGAGTTCAACCGTTGAAAAGGTTGGGGAACTCAATCTGGGCCTTGCAGCCCGAGGTCAGTCTGCGTCATGGGGTTCAGCCATCAGCTAATTGAGATCAGGCATCTTGCGTCCTAGCTCTGTCTGAGCTCCCATCCTAAATGATAAATTTACTATATTGAAAAGTTTGTTCACTGCAGACATGTTTTGGACTGCTTCTTGATTTCAATTTAATTCAAATGGTTTAAAGGTGATAGACTAGTGACTACCACAGGTGGTCAGTTTCCATGTTGTGCTTGATCATATTGTGCTGCTGGTTGGGATAAAGGATTGTGGTTGATTCGATAAGCTGTTTTCTCTGATGTTATGAAGATGAGAATGTCTGTGGGTCGTTAGAGACCCAGAAGCTAGGGCGCAACTATCAGGAAGATTTGGGTGATAACCCACAGATTAAACCAAGGACAGCCGGACAACAAAAATAAAAAGGAGAAAACACTTAAGCAAGACACAAAGACAGACTTGCAGTTCACCAATGGCAGACAGTAGGACAAATGAGGATGAAAAGGCCAATAATGAACCACCAGGACACCCTGAACTCAAAGCACAGGAAGTAACAAAACAGATCAATCAGGCTCTAGAAAAATTCAAAAGAGAAATAATTTCTCAGATAACCATAGGGATGGTGAGCAAAATGAAAGTCATGATTCGAGACTCTAGAACAGAAACTGACAAAAAAATAGATGAGTTCAGGACCACAATAGAAGCCATGAAGGCCCTGCATAAGAAAGAAATGCAAACAATAAACGCCCAACATAGGAAAGAAATAGAATCCATAAAACAGATTCAAACAGATATCCAGCAGATTAAACACTTCATTGAAAGTGTACGCAACAGAATAAAAGAATGCGAAGATAGAATCTCAGATACAGAAGATAAGATTGCAGTCAGTGACTATGAAAAGAGAGGTCTCTTAAAAACAGTAGGGGATCATGAGAAATAGATCCAGCAACTCCTAGATGATGCAAAGAAGAATAACAGAAGACTGATAGGAATCCACGAAGTACCAGGAGAAAATACAAATGACTTAAAAAAGCTGTTTACAGAATTAATGGCAGAAAACTTCCCAAACAGAGGGGAAGAATTTGACATCCAGATAAGTGAGGCATATAGGACCCCAACTAGCCACAATCAAAAAAAATCTACACCTAGACATATAATAATCAAGATCCCAGAAACCCAACAGAAGAACAAAATACTACAAGCAGTAAGAGAAAAGAAACAAATCACATGCAAAGGAAAGCCCATCAGAATCACAGCAGACTTTTCAACACAAACCATTAGGGCAAGGAGAGCCTAGAGTGAGCTATTTCAAGTACTAAAAGAGAACAACCTCCAACCTAGACTGATTTAGCCTGCAAAACTCTTTCAAAATGGATGGGGAAATAAGATACTTCCAAGACAAAGAACACCTGAGAAACTACATGAATACCAAACCAGTACTACAAGCAATTCTAAACAATATCCTAGAAAAACACAATGAAGATAACAACACCATGAGGCCCAACAGAGCAAATCAAATAGGCAAGGCAAGAAACTAAAAAGAGAAGGTGAAAATAGTCAACAAAAGGACAATAACATGTCAATAATAAGTCAGTACATATCAGTTATAACCATCAATGTCAATGGCCTCAACTCACCAATCAAGAGAAATAGACTGGCAAAATGGAATAAGAAGCAAAATCCAACAATATGTTATTTACAAGAAACACACCTAGTACAAAAAGAATCCCATAGACTGAAAGTGAAAGTATAGAGAACAATTCTGCATGGGACAGGAGCCCAGAAAAAAGCAGGTGTAGCAATCTTATTTGCAAACAAAGCAAATTTCAAACCAAAACTGATTCTAGTATTATAGATGTAGGACAGTACTGTATCATACCTCTTTGAAGGTATATATATATCTTGTATCTGCTTTATGATATGTAGTAGTGACCATGCTTTATCAGAGCTATTTTTAATGATGTTACTCTAGAATGTTCTCTCTCCAGATGATGATTAAGATGTTAATAAAAAAAAAATGGTGCCAGGTACAACAGCAACAGAACTTCGCTGTTTTTTGGGTATCATTCTTCTCTTTGTTTTTTTGTTTTTTTGTTTTTTTTTTTAATGGAGTGTGCTGAATGTCTATAATTTTGTTCAGATGACTGCAGAACCTGGAAAAGCTGTTGCTGCTATTGATGCATAACATACTACTATTATTGGTCTTTTTATATAAATATAAATATATATATATGATTTGAATTTCTGGAAACTTTAATTGTGCTGTCAACTTTGGAAAAAGTTATCCCAATTTACTGTGTTGAGTTGGCATTGTACAGAAATTAGCAGCCATACTGGTCTAGAAATGTTAATTTTTTTTCCATTTCTACAGGGGTAAAGCACTGTATTATATATGTAAAGTCATATCTACATGGGTTTGATTACAGAAACTAATAAAGTATTCTCTAAATAATG